TAAGGTATAGAGAGAGAATGGATAAACATATGATAGAGTTTAAAGGATAGTGTTTAAAGGCACCTAATGTTTATCCATTTTCTCTCTATAACTTAGATTGGCTGGGTTTAAACAGTTCCCTACCTTTTAAACTCTCCCCTACGTTTATCTAAACTCTCCCCTATGTTTTTCGATTATCACTCTATATCTTACATTGGGTGGGTTTAAACTCTTCTTTATAGAGTTTAAAGGGAAAAGACGGATAAAGCGTGGGTGAAGAAGGATATAGAGAGGATTTATGTTGTTCAACAAGAGAAAATCCATTTAATTTCGTTATTCAACAACCGCAAAAATGGGAGCACCTACGAAAAATAATTTCGGTCCTTGAAGAACCGAAAATTTAAAAATTTCAATTCTTCAACAACTGGTTTTTTCAAAAACCGAAATTGGCCTGATTAAAATCCATTGATTTCGGTTATTCAACAATCGAAAAGGATAAAATTGTTTTTTTTTTAATTTTCGTTATGACATGAAAAAAAACAGACAGATAGGTAATAACAGAAACTATTCGGTAGTTTTGTAATAACGCAAACTATACCAGATATGTATGTAATTTTCCCTTGATTTAAACCTAACAAAATTGATTTACCAATATAGAATGATTCATTATTGATTGTTAGGAATAAATCAATAATGAACTAAAAGGATTACAAAACCCCTCTTTTAATGGTAACCATGAATAATAGCGAAGATTCAACCGTCCAAGATTATTTAGTTATTGCTTTTAAAATATTCATAGTAAATATATTTTTAATATTTGAAATTCCCGATAAATTACTAATAAGTTTCCAACAAAATGGGCACACTCGATAATATCGTGATAAAGAAATATTGTCAAGGGAAATTATCACAAATATACCTTAATTTTAGTCTACTTAGAAAAAAAAAAACTCAACTTTCATAAACAGCTCTCATACCCTTTTTATTCAATTTTGGGAGTTTTTTTTAGAGTTTTTTTGTCTATTTAGAAAGAAAAAAACCTCGTGCACACCCTTTTTGTTCAATTTTGAGAGTTTTTTTTAGAATTTGTTTTTACCAAAATAACCTACCAGTACTTTAATTACGCAATTTTAATTACTGTAAACCCAAAGCCATGTAAACCCACCATGTTACCCTTGTTATACTTAAAAACTAACCCATGTTATACGACACTTACGGTAAATCATTTATATTTATTTCTTTCATCCCATTTTCTCTTTTGGTTTATATTTATCTCTTTCATCTGTCTTTCATCTCTCTAATTCTTTTTATGTTTATCTTTTTTTTATCTCTCCAATTCTTTTTAATATTTATCTCTTTTTTTTCTCTCTAATTCTTTGTTATCTATTCTTTCACTCTCCAAGGAGATTTGTATAACAACATGAGCGTACCTTACCCTCTTCTATAAAAACTCCATTCAACTCCATGTCTAATGAAAATTAGACCATTTATATTTATTTCTTTCGTCCCATTTTCTCTTTCGGTTTATATTTATCTATTTCATCTGTTTTTCATCTTTCTAATTCTTTTTATATTTATCTTTTTTTTATCTATCTAATTCTTTTTAATATTCATCTCGTTTTTCTCTTTCTAATTTTTTTTTGTCTCTTCTTTCTCTCTCTAACTCTCTTTCTCTCTCCAAGGAGATTTGTATAATAACATGGGCGTACTTTACCCTCTCCTATAAAACCTCCCTTCAACTCCATGTCCTATGAAAATTAGACAGAGTCAAATTTGTATTGTGTTCGAATTGAATTTGTTGAGTTGATGGAATAAATAGAGAGAGAAAAAAGAGATAAATATTAAAAACAATTAGAGAGAGAAAAAAAAGATAAACATAAAAAGAATTATGAAAAAGATAAATATTAAAAAGAATAAGAGAGAGCAAGAAGAAAGAGATAAACATAAAAAGAATTATGAAAGAGATAAATATTAAAAAGAATTAGAGAGGGAAAAAAGAGATAAATATAAAATTAATTAGAGAGATGAAAAAAATAAATATAAACAAGAGAAAAAAGTTAGGGCATTTCAAGGGCTGTATAACATGGGTGGGCTTTTACGGTACTTAAAATGACATATAACATTGGTGGGTTTAGCTTAGTACCATAATTGTGCTTCACGGTAGCTGAATTTTGCTTAGTACCATAATTGTGGTTTACGGTAGGTGGGTTTAGCTTAGTACCGTAACTGTGCTTGACGGCAATACGAGTACTGTGAAGGTTATTTTTGTAAAAAAATTATCCAAAATTGAACAAAAAAGGTATGGGAACGCAAGTACCATGAAAATTATTTTGGTATAAATAAATAAAAAAGCCCAAAATTGAACAAAAATGGTGTAGAAAAATTTTAAAAAGTTGAAAGATTTTTTTTAAAACTAAAATTAAAATATATTTGTGATAATTTCTCTTAAAGTAACTATATGGTTTTACACTTCGAATACAATAATACTTAGACGTCGTTTAATAACTGTGAAAACAGGAAAAGTACGTGATTTTCCCACCTTTTGACCTGTTTGTTTGGGTGGCAGTTGTACCAAAATATTCATATGGCTTTCCCGTCATTCCCCATTGCAGGAAAAATTGAAAACCACCTAAATAGATGATCTCTATCTCTAAATAGAGCCTATTATGGTAAATTCGTAACATATTGGAAAAATATAAATAATATATATAAATTGATGAATATTTATAAGATTGGATAATAATTTTGTTCAATTCACTATGGAACTTTAATTATGATAAATTGACCAAGCCATGTGGAAATCGACAAGTTTTATGACCAAATTGTAGTATACTAAAACTTTATTTTTATGGCTCTTTAGAGTGATCAATGAAAGTAAAATTGGAGAGTTTTTAAGGTCGATTTGCAATAAATTGATGAGTTATGAAACAAATAATTTCCCCATGTAATTTACAGTAATTTTGGTAATTTACAACAACTTTCAACATTTTACTATTGAATAAAATGGTTTCCCATATAAAATTGACTACACCAATTTTTCAGGTAAGTTCTCAAATAAGAAAAACTAATTGGTCCAATTTTCCAGTTAAATTATCAAATTAGAAAAAGGGATTGCATCAACTTTTTCTAGTGTCGTCAGAATCCCAAAATTCTCAAGGATTCTAGGTGAAATGGTAAAAAAATTGTCAAACAGGGCATTAGCGTCAAGATGAATCACAGATTCACAATACATCAATGCAAAAAATCGCTCTAAGCCGAGTATCATAACTGCATAAAAAGCTTTATAGCCAAAAACACTCCGCCCCATGTCTGATCCTAGCCCTATCAAGACTGCGCTAGGCAATTAAAAAAAAAAAAGAGGGTCGGGCCGGGTGAAACTATGATGACTTTGGCCCAAGCCCAGCCCTACCCTCGGTCATGTTTGCTCGGCCCTAGCCTTACCCTCGGGCTACATTTTATGACTCTGGCCTTGATTTTCCCCTGCCGGGCCAACCGGCCCATTTACCGCTTGTGGAGGAAGACATTACATTGAAACCCACCGCTACTAATATTAAAAAAAACAAAACCAAAAAAAGAAAAAGAAACTGTAGGTATCGTTAGTTGATCCTAGTAAAAGCTACCGATACTTGGTAAAAAATAACAAGCAACCCAACCAAAGGGAAAAGATAGTAAGAAACAATCCTAGACAAAAAAAAAAAAGTAATTAACTATTTTTATCAAAAAAATGAAAATCATTTTAAAAAAAAAGCTTCATCAGGTAGGTATACTTAGACTCGCCAAGCACACCAAGCTCAAAATGTACCCGATGTGAAATTGGATGTCTATATTTATTTCATTGACCAAGCTCAAAATTTCAAAGAATATTTTTCAAACTTTGTGACACACTGAAGCTATCAGATTTTACATTGGATGGTTATAAGTAATTATGAACACCTAGTATCAAAAATAAATGGTCTCATTATATACAATTATTTGACATAAAAGTAAAGAGATACGGGAAAAAAATTTTCGGACACGATTTCTATGAGTTCATAGACTCTCTCACATGTAGAAAAAATAAATGGTCTCATTATATATAATCATTTGACATAAAAATAAAGAGAAAACGGAAAAAATTTTTAGACACGGGTTCTATGAGTCCATAGACTCTCACATGAAGAAATGTGAGCCCCTTAAGCAAGGGCACATTATAAAAAGATAATAATAAGAAGAACCAAAATACCCTTAAAACGTATCATAAGTATTTTGGTCGAAATTTTTTTTCCAAATTATTTGTTTCACATTTTGTTAGGTGTAGCTAGATTTTGCACCAACTTGAAAATTTTCATATAAATCCAATTTATAAAAAAAATTATGAATTAAAATACTGAATATCATCATATATAATCATGACCATTCGTTTTCTTTCCCTCTAATCTTAACCATTGGAGATACTCGCCCACTATTTTTGTGTCCACGTGATGTGTACACCGTACCATCCCATAAATTATATTAGAGCAATGATCTAATACAACGATTGTATCATAGTATAATGCAATGACACTTCTAAAAAATTATGTTTGTGGCATTTTTATGACCCAAAAATTTGCACACACACTCTCTTCATCTCAATAATCAATCCCCCAAAAACAAAAAAAAGTTCAATTTGAATCTTAGATATGGTCAAAATGAGTCCCCTCCAAAAACGAATCTAGATCATTCATTTTGTAAATTTCAAGATCTTAGCCTTTATAAACTCAAAATCATTTTTTTCTTTTTTAACATTTTTCATCTAATAATAATAAAGCCATTTAAAAAAATTGGAAATGAAAAAATCATTCTAAAGCTTAAATCTAAGCATCTCACCAAAATGAACGGCTTATGTTAATTGGGCTAAAAAAATACTTATTAAGTTGTGTTTTCAAAAAAAAAAAATTTGTGATTGTTCATTAAAATGAAAAGAATGTATATGTCAAAATTTGAATCAAACAAAAAGCCATAAGATGGTTTTTTTAAGGTTGTTCCATCATATTACTATACAACCGTTCCATAAAATCATTGCCCATTATTTTGTGTTACTTTCCCTTCAATGGTTTGGAAAGCGGCAGCCCCTTAAATTCACATGTCGAAATGCAAGCCCCATTGATTTTACTACTATTTTTTTTTAGAAGAATTATTATTTACGTACCCGATTTTGGTGGAATTCATTTCCCAAATGGATAATTCTCTCCTTTGAACCCTAATTTGACGGGATTATAATCGAATTTTATTTGATAATTCCTTGTAACGGAAGTTCTATCTTGATATGGATTTATTCCCGTTAATATAGGAGTTCATCTTGCTTAGGATTTGTCCTCTATAAATTAAGGAAAGGATCTCCTTACTTCCAATTGAACGAAAATCGAGAAGGGAATCTACAGATCTATTCTCTGAGAGATCGAATTTCTTGGGTTTTCGAAGCTTTTGTTTTCCTCCAAGAATCATCGATCCTCTGTTTTCAAGCTTCTTGTTTGTGTTTTTATATCAAAGTATCTTCCACATTCAACCGATTCAGAAAGGTGAATTCCTTTTGAAATCCCATAATTGCTCTCTGGTTTTTGAAGGTTTCTTGCGAGATTTCTCAAGGATTTCACTCTCAGAATTCAAGGATTTCTCATCTGTTTCGCCCTTCAATTTGAAGATTTATGCTCTGATATTCCTTTTCGCTCTTCAGTTCTGCAGATTTCCCATCAGTTGGTTGTTTTCTCAGGTTTCGATTCTTTTAGGCTTAAAAGCATAAGAAGGATCTGAAAGATTCACAACAATGCCGGAGAAGAGTTGGGAAAGTTGCCGGCCCTCTGAAAACCCTCGCCTCTGCGCCAACAACTGCGGTTTTTTTGGGAGCCCTGCAACTCTAAACCTATGTTCAAAGTGCTACAAAGACTACCGCCTCAAAGAGGAGCAAGCCGCCGCCGCAAAAGCCGCCGTCGAGAAGTCACTCGCCGGAAACAACCCCACTCCGGCGGCCGAGACTGAAATCCTGGCCAAAGATTGCCAAGACGCCGAAATTGATGGCTCCGCTCCTCTCCCTTCAAGGTTGTCTTCCTCGCCGGAATCTGATCCACCTAAGAACTCCGAAGATCGCCAATCCAAAATTGTCCGGCTAGGCGGCCCTGCTTCTCTGCCTTCGACGTCGTCTTCCTTGCCGGAGGCGAGTCGGGATCGAATCAGTGAAAGTGCAAGTTGCCACCCCTCTGAAAACGGCGGCCACTGCACTAACAACTGCGGTTTTTTTGGGAGCCCTGCAACCCTAAATCTATGCTCAAGGTGTTACAAAGACGTCCGCCTCAAAGAGGAGCAAGCGGCCGCCGCAAAAGCCACCGTCGAGAAGTCACTCGTCGAAACAACCCCTCTCCGGCGGCCGACTCTGAAAGCCCCGCCAAAGATTGCCAAGACCCGATAATTATCCGGCTAGATGGATCCGCTCCTCTCCCTTCGACGTCTTCCTTGCCGGAATCTGACCCACCTGAGAAACGCTGCTTCATCTGCAAGAAGAGGGTTAGGCTCTTTGGGTTTAGGTGCCAGTGCGGCAGCATCTTCTGTTCGGTCCACAGGTACCCCGAAACACACGACTGCGGCTTCGATTTCAAGAAGGTCGGCCGCGACGCCATTGCCAAAGCGAACCCCTTGATCAAGGCCGATAAGCTAACCAGGATTTGATTTGAGGGAGGACGCCGTAATATGACGTCATTCAGCCGGATTATTGATAAGATTCCGGCGCGTGCAAGGGGATTTACGGACCGACGTGGAAAACGGGGGGAAAAGGCTTTCATGTGAATAAGATTTTCTTTTTTTTAAAGTGCAATGTAGGAAAATAAAGAGAAGTGGAAAGGAAGAGGAGAGAAATATTACCTCTGTGGTGGATGTGAAGAGTCTCTTTTGAAAATGAATGCGATATTTTTAAATGATTTTTTTGGTGCACTTTATTTCTAATAATTTTTTTTGAATTAATGGAAATCTGGGTTTTCAGCTTTATTGTTTATATTTATTATTTTATTTTTAACCGGCCTCAAATGGTTGAAAATATAAGATAAGGCTATGACGTTGATAATTGTTTATTATTTTATTTTATTTTGATAATATATCCATCAGAACAATAAATCAACCTGCTTATTTTTTATGATTAATTTGACTTAGGTTATTTCTCTTTTTAGAAAAAGAAAATGTATCAAATCACAACTACAACTATTCTCCATTTTATACATATGGACACGGTTTTTAGGAGTTCATGTAAAAATGAGTCACCTCGTAAAAATCTATTTTTGAGATGGATTTTGGAATTAATTTTTAAAGACATATAATTGTAACGTTAATTTCAATTGTTTTTAGATGGACAATCTTTAAGAAAGATGCTTCATACCTTGAGACCACATATTATAGAAATGTAGCCCCCATGAAACAATTTTCCTATATACATTTTTATCTACTTTTAAATTGTAATACTTTTGATCAGATTTGTTCTTTTGATCAAATTTCAAGTAGCCATTGATTATGCATCATTATGGGAATTTTTTAAAATCGTACATTTAAGAAACATAATTTGTTAAATCACACATTTAATGAATATTAAAGAGTTCAACTTGTAATTGGGGCTTAACAGATCTTTAATTTGTAGCCTGCTTTTTAAATGGAGCAACAGAGCGGTGGGCACCCGACCAGACCCGGGACCCCACGGGTAGACCCGACTTCATATAAAATGGTAATCATGGGTGGACCCGACCTCATATAAAATGGCAATCATGTGTCTTTAGGCACACGTGTTTATATTGTCACAATATTAGTAACATTTACTGTATTATTGGCAAAACAAAGAAACCCTCATAATCATAGGGTATATGAGGGTAAAAAAAAGGGCAAAAAAAAAAGAAAGTGTCTTTAGGCACGCATGTTCATATTGTCACAATATTAGCGCATGTTCATAGTGCCCCAATTTTAGCAGGACCCGGTGACCATACCTATTTGCATCTAGCTACCGGTGACCATACGTATTTGCATCTAGCTACTTGTACTTGGAACTCCACGACCTGGTGGCCTTAATTTTCTTTCAGATAAACTTCAAGGACTTGTTAAAATACATAACAAAAGAGCTATAAAGCTTACGAGATGGAGGAAGATAATAGTAGAGTTATAGTAGAGAGAGATTTCGTTAATGTTATTAAATGGTGTAAGCAGCTGAGTAGAACGCGTTAGATGTGGTCAAGCTTTATTTGTGCCATGCTAGCTTCACTTGTAATATGGTTGTCTGTCTAGTTCTCTCCTATGAGCTAGGGCCTTGTAATTGTTGTCTTTTTTTCTTCACATGTTGGTATCTTTTAGGATGTCTTTCTTAACTAGTTGTAAAACAAGATTCTTTAAAGAAACATTGTATATGAAGAGTTTTTCTTGTTTATGTAATGAGATACACATATGAGCTTTAAATGGAAAATAGAGCAAATCATGGGGAGTAAGATGTCCACCAAACTTCCATGTATTCCGAGTCATCTTTGTAATACACGCATCCACCTTATAAATTTCAGTTTGTTAGATGTATATAACCAGAGATTTTGCTACTAATTGACTTTGTGAAATGAGAGCATGTTTCGACTGGGTGCGTGCCAAATAGAAGAGAAATTTTGATATTTTTCTCATGGTACAAGCATTATAAGCACATTCAAACTTCAAGTATCATCAATTTTATGTTATGAGCGAACCCGAAGTCACAAAATTGAGCCAAATTTCTGGTGTGGGGTCAATCAAAGCAATTTTGGACACCCTTAGAAGTAGCATATCTATTTCATTTAGTATGGAGCTCCAAAAAACCTCCATATCTATTCAATTTGTTATCCATTTTGGCGCTCCATTGTCTCATGCAATGCTTAATATTCAAAATTCATTTTTTTTTTCTAGATTCATGATTATGGAGGTCGAGGTTATTGACCTAATAAATTTTGGATCCAGAGTCTCACTCTAACGTATCAAAACCCTATCATTGAAATAAAAGTTTTGTTAGGCTACACCACTTATCCATTCTTTCTATTTACTTCAGGCAATATCGACAACACCAAATAGAGACGTGAGAGTAATGAGAAACTGACTTTTCCTCTTATTAAAAGAAAAACCATCCAAAATCTCTATAAAAACCACTTCTCTACAAAAAACAAATAAGCATCTCAATCTTCGGGAGTCTACAAAATGCCACCATCACAATGTTCTGTTCAAATAAAGCTTTCTTCTCTCTAAGAGTGCTCAACTTTTTTGACACTAAAATACCCTTGAATTGTAATACAAAATTTTTCAAGTATGAGCATTTTTTGTTATTTAGAAGAGTAGAATGGATATTTTTATAAAAAAAAAATAGTGACATTCTATTAGTAGTTAAAAACAATTAATGCATCTTGTGGGTGATGTCAGACATCATATTGATGATGTCATTATCCATTATTGTTAATAAATGCTTTTGTTTTTATTAGGAATTTTTAGTTTACCATTGATTAATTACTTAAAATACCCCTAAACAAAAAGTTACTGTACTATAGGATAAGGGTATCTAAACATCTAAAAATAATGAGTACTTTAAGGGTCTACACTACAAGTGCTGTAGCCTAACAAAACCCTAGAAATATTTCCTAATGTCTAATTTCCTCCATGTTTCATTTTTGAGTCTACACCACAATTGGTATAGCCTAACAAAACCCTAGAAATAATTACTGATGTTTAATTTCCTCCATGTTTCATTTTTTGGCAGTATTTCAACTTTTTCCTTTTTTTGCCGATATTGAGAATCAAATAACCCATAGCACAATTATTGATCGGAGATGATTCTATGCATATGGCGTATGAGGTGGCTTATGCTACACAAATACGGTGCAATGTTAGATTTTGCCGGACAATGAGGTGCAAGGGTCGAAAATTTTACGTTCGCTTGAAATACATGATTAATCCTAATTATAAAGTTCAAAATTCTAAAAAATGGTGTAGATCTATAAATATTTGAAGATCTATAAAATAGACGGTTCAGATAACTTGTTACAAAATGCATTATTTTTAGGACTTAAACTTCTTTATTTTTCTTTATATCTATGTATCTCGAGGCCGAGATGATCAAATTAGAAGATTTTCCAATTTTTGAATACTCTTCGATAATAGATTTTGAGGCACACCTTACTTTTATAGTATAAGTTGCAACTTTATATAAACTTTTTCCTATCTATAAATAAGAAAGGATAAGGTTTGTATAAGGTGTCAACCATAAACAATCATGGTAATGTGCACCTTAAAATCTCATTAAAGGGTGTATTTTTGGTGTCAAAACTCTTAGCGTAAAAGTCTATTTTTCACCCCTATAATGAAATTGAAAGCTCCAAAAATAGTGCAATCTAGCAGCTCTATGAGCACTCTAAAATCTTGAAAATGGACGGTCTAGATAATGTGTTATAAGATGGACTAATATTAAGACTTGAAATTCATTTTTTCTTTCATGTCTATATATATCGAGGTCAAGATAATCAATTGGAGAATTTACTAAAGACGAAACAATCTTTCAATGGGTTTTTGAGGTGCACCTTACTTCATACCTTGTATAAACTTTTTCTAATAAAAATACAAAGATTTAGTAATTATATATCTTACAGTATATAGACAATATTATTTATATATATTTCATACTATATAGGTCATGTCAGATCGGGTAGACCCTGACCGAGACTCGACTCCATAGGATCGGGGTAGACCCATGCCCAATCCATCGGGTCTATTGTTGAAGTCCAGCTCCGGATCAAGTTGGGTCGACCAGCCGGGTCCATGGCCGCGCCGACCCATTTTCCCTAGTGGATGGGACCCCCAATGCTTGATTGGACTGCCCGCAAGGATGGACACCCCCAATGTGGTACACCCGTGATGAGTCCCATGCACCTTTTTGTTTTTTGGGGTGAACAAATCCCATGCACCTTTTTGTTTTTTGGGGTGAATAAATCCCATGCAACTTGCTCATTGAATCATTCACGCACTATATCTTGAGTAATGATGGGATTCTGGGTGCCAATTACGTCCGTTTGGATGTTCTTATTTTTGCGAGTGGGAATAAAATTTTCTTTTAAGTACAATTGAATAGCTGGAATTCAAGGGTACAATTTCAAGAAAAACTCGTTTATAGGAAAAATATCGTTAATATTGAGAATTTGCTGATAATGATATAAAAACATTTCTTTGGGCTGAAATTTAGATATCGTTACAAGTTATTATGATCATTCAAGACTGCTTATTTTCACGACTGCCCACAAAAGCATGTAAATATAAAACATCGATATGGTTACTAAGATATCCAAACAGCGCCTAAGGAAAACTTTATGGAGGGGGAATGCCAGTGTTAGAAAGGTCGACTCGGTCGAGTACTTGGGCGGAGTTTGAGTAACTCCACCCGAGTAGTGCCGGGGTACTGTAGCAGCAAAAGAAAGGATAAACAAATTACAAAAAAATCTAAAAGAAAAGGAAATGTATGTTTAAAGTAAGATTAAGCAAAACATTTGAAGTTAAAAAAAGTCAATCCCTATTTAAAAAATCAACTTGTGGCTAGAGTATTTTTGAAATAATCTAAAAAAAATGAGATAATATGAAAATACGTATTTAGGGCCAAAACACTTTCCAATCTTTGCCAAAATGATAGAAAACACACACACACACACACACACACACATATATATATATATATATATATATATATATATATATATACT